AAAAACCGCCTTCACACTTGAAGGTTGAATTTTCTTGTTTTGATTTCGTGTATAAATAGATAGCTAAGCTTATGCAATTATGTGTGGAGAGATTGAGAGAAACACTAGAGAGAAAGAGAGAAAGAGAGAGGGGTTGTTGTAAACTTTTGTTTATGTTATTGTAAGCTTTGTTCTTGAAATAAAAGAGTGTGTTTTATCCTCTCTGAGTGTTTCAAAGCCACCACAAGCGGTTTCTCCCACCAACAGGGATAAGGGGTCTCCCTGGCGAACGCCACTTTGCCCTAAAAAGAACCCATGCATATCTCCATTAACTACAACAGAGAAGGAAGTAGTGGACACACATTGCATAACAAGGTTAACAAATTTATCTGGAAACCAAGGTGGCAGAGAAGATTTTCTATAAAGCCCCACTAGACAGAGTTGAATGCTTTTTTAAAATCAACTTTCAACAAACAGCGGGGAGACGATCTCTTCCTACCATACTGATGAAGCAGCTCCTGCACAAGGTTAATATTGTCACTCATAAATCTGCCACCTAAGAACGCATTCTGCATAGGACTAACAATCTCCATTAAAACGTGAACAAGACGACCAGCGAGGATCTTTGCTATGACTTTGTAAATAACATTACAGCAGGATATTGGCCTAAAATCCGAAGGAGAAGAGACATTCGTTGACTTGGGGACCAAAGAGATAATAGAATGATTAACCTGCTTAAGGATACTGCCCGTATGAAAGAAGTCCTACACCGCTGCACAAAAATCCTCGCCCATGACAGACCATGCTTGCTTATAGAAGACTGAGGAGTAGTCATCAAGCCTCGGGGCTTTATCATTTCCAATACTAAAGACAACCTTGCGTATGTCCTCGTGAGACACTGGAGAGAGGAGGAAGTCATGAGAACTAGAAGGAACACATGGGCCACAACGAATAACTTCACGATCAAGGGGAATGGTGGTTTTTGAGGCACCTAAGAGGTGCTAGTAATATGCAACAAATTCATCACCTACTTCCTGCAAAGAGGTACTAAGGCCACTGTGATTGCATGTAATGGTAGAGATAAAATTCCTCCGATGGTTGTGACCCATGAGAGCATGGAAAAACTTTGAGCCTCTGTCACTATGTTGAAGAAAAGTGCATTTGGTCTTCTGACTAAAGAACTGTTGCTCTGCAAGTTTTAGAGTGGACAATTTAGAGCGAAGGAGGCTGTCTTGGGCATGTAAAAGTTGATTATCCATATCTTGTTGCAAAGCATATTGATGCTGATCTAGCTCAGATTCAAGCCGTAGTACTCGTTCTGATATATGGCTGAAGTGGAGACGGTTGAGCACTTTCAAGGGCCCTTTCAGGAGTTTGAGGCGGCGACATAATATGTACATGGGGGTGCCATATATAGGGAAGAACCAATGAGAAGAAACCAACTCCAAGAACTGAACATGGGATGTCCACATGTTAAAAAATTTAAAACACCGTCTACCCTGCTGGAAAGGACCCAAACGGACTGCAGCAGGAGAATGATCTGTAAATGCTCCAGGAGGACCAAAGTGAACATGAGTGAGATGATTCAAGGAAGAACATGAAGGGTTGATCATAACCCGATCAAGCTTGCTCCAGACAGTGCCATTTGTCCAACTAAAATGGCAGCCAGTGAAGTTGACGTCATGCAAACCAAGATCAAAACAACAATCACGAAAGTCAGAGATTTCATATAAAGAAACAACCTCACCATTATGTTTATCTATGGAAGAAAGAACTGAATTAAAGTCTCCAAGAACCATCCAGGGAGAGTTAGAATTCCAGCACCGTAACTCCCCCCATAGGGAACGTCTAGCAGAGATGGTATTAAAGCCATATACATAAGTAAGCTTAAAACTAAGCTGAGAGATCAAACTGGTCACAGAGAAGTGAATAGCCTGGGCGGATGAAGCAAGCAAGTCAAGTTTAACTGTTGCTGGATTACAGAAAACCATAATTCTAGCAGTACCTGCAATATCCGCATTTGTAAAGTATTGCCAATGCTTGAGACGAAGTACTCGGAAGGGAAGCAATTTAGTTTCAAGCAAACCACACACATCCATCTTGTGTTTCTTCATGAGGCCAACAACCTCATGCTGCTTCAGGGAATTGTTGAGACCCCTGATATTCCAACTATAAATTATCATAAGAGGGCAGGGGAAGGGGATTCCCTTCCACTACGACCATGATTTTTCTGGTTACGGGTTCTGACCCCACTCTTGACAAATACGTCCAGTAAAGGAGCTCAGACAATATTTCCAGCCATAGCATTATTACTATCAGGATTAACTGCCAAATGAGGATTTTTAGGAGGAGAGGGTTCACGAGCCACTCCAGCACGATGATGTGCTTCCAGTAGTTCAATAGAATGAGGGGAGGAATCCCGAACATTTCCAACACATGAGGAGTCCACAAGTGGGATAGGCTGAGGAGAGGAGAGAGGGCGATCTGTTCCTGCACTTACAGGGAAGGAAGGGATAGGGGAGGGAACAACTATCCCTGTCCCAGAAACATCCACCTCTTTCCCCTTTAGACTACATCCAGATTTCTTGCTAAGTTTACGCTTAGAGCCCACCGTAACCCAATCTTCAGTAGTAGCATGGGGATCATCTAAGATAGTAGCCACCTCAGTAACTACTGGAGTATCTTGGACTTGAGAAGGGCCTGGCACTGGAGACGGAGAGGGAGAACTCTGGTGAGAAATCTGAGGACCCAAGCGACTGAGAGCATGCCCTTTCCTTGTGTGGCCAGCTAGAGCCGGGGGTTGACTAGGAGAGGCAGTGTTGGAAGCAGCAGCAGCTTTGGGACAGAGGAGACGAGAGTGGCCAAGAACATGGCAGAAATTGCAATATTTAGGTAGCGTCTCATAAACAACTTTTTGGTGCAGAGTAAGACCTTCAGGTAATGAAATCTCCACTGAGTGGCGGAGTTCCTCAAGAAGATCAATTTCCACTAGTACTCATGCATAAGACATATGGGAAAGGCTGGAAGTGAGTTGGTCACACTGAATAGGCTTCCCAAGAACACTGGCGATCTTTGATAAACAAACCGGAGACCAGCAGCACAAAGGAAGGCATGGAAACTTGACCAAAACCGGCACCCTAGACATCTCTGCACTGGAGAAATCAAAGAACTTTGTCATAGGCCGTAGAACAAGAGGTCGACCATACATAAGGTAGGGTCCTCTACGGAGAATCGTAAGCTTATCCTCCTCTGTCTTAAATTTGTATACCAACCACCCAGATTCATGGATGGTAACGGAGGCCTCACATTTCCAGACATTGGAAATAATACTATTTAGAGCTCTATAGCCAGGGTTTTTACCAGAAACATAGCCCACAACACAAAGATTCCAAACTTCAAATTTTGGTTGAATATCCTCAGAGGAGATGGCACAGGTTTTGGAGAGATGGTTAAGAGCAAAGTTTTGAAGTTTGGTGCAGGAATCAGTAGATCTATTTGAAATGAAAAGATCCCGCCAATTGTTATTACCAGGGGCGGAGGAAGGTTTACCTGTAGTAGAGAAGGGTGCAGGTTCTCTATTGTCAAAAGAGGTGAGGGGAGGCATCACATTCTTCACCGAAGAGGGGGCAGGGATCTGCTCAGCTGGTGGTAAGAGAGCAAGAGAAGACAAGTTCTGGACAGGGGCCCCAACATGGCCTTGGGGGGGGGTCATCATACTCTTCCTCAAAAAAGTTGAAGTCCAGCCGATCCTTATCCAGGATCTCATCATCAGAACCATCTGGGCACTCTTCTACCAAGACCACATCCAAGTGCTTAGAACCAGAAGAACCCACCATCGCTGGATCTGGGTGGGGAGCACGAAGTCCCACATCACGAGGAGTAGATGGAGCCAAGGGGGGAGGAACGCCATCAATGTCAACAGCAGGAGCAACCATGAGGGCTAAAACCACTGAACCATCACCATCGTGATTATGAACATCGGGACCAGCAGTTTGAGTAGGTGATGTGATTAGTACTTAAAAGTATATTTTTATCATGGTTTTATATCATTATTTTGTACTTGAAGTATCAATAACTCCTTAACTAAAGCATGTTTTATAATAATATATCTAATACTATAAGATACCTTTAATTTGTGGTAAATGTTCATTTTAAATGCAGGCCTATCACATAAATGAAAGGATTGATTGATGA